ATATTTTTCGAACAAAAAAAATTGAGTCATTTTATACCAGTCTATACCATATGGTATTTTGACTGGTATTGAAATAAGAGCATACCTATGGTTTGAAAAGCGTACCATGGTGGTATGACACAAACCAAAACTGTAGGATGGTTGAATACATGATAGTAGAAGTATATTAATTGTCATTTACGACTTTTAACATTGTATACCATAAGATACCACCCCGTACCAGGGTGGTATTGTATGGTATTGTGTGGTATTTTTTTGTCTTGTAATTTGTTCACCCAGAAATTTGTAGATCCAATAGATCATGATGAACTCGTCCCTTCTGTGCAAACGTTTTCAAAAACGAATTAAAAACGAAGAAGATACCATATGGAATGCAGTTGGTACCGAGAGGCCAGAATTTTTTTTTCCTCAATAAATATTGAAAATTGATCTCATTTTGTAGAGCACGATGAACTCATTCCATTTGTACAAAAAAAATTAAAATTCGAGTTAAAACGAAAAAGATATGAGTCAATTAAGAAAGCTAGTGAAAATAAAAATGGCTTTTAATTCTCCATCCTTAGATCTGAATTTTCTAAATGAAGGGTCCAGATTTGGTTATTAATGGGTGCATAACCCATGGTTATGCACCCTAACTTGAGATGGATCAGGTCAGTAACCTTATGGTGAGTAACTATGAGTAACCCGCTCACATTAGCATGACATCAGCATCCTCTCTCTCCTGGAAAGCATTTAATTTTCCCCTCCTTAATCTTTGACGGACGATTTCTCACTCGTTTTAAGTCGAAATTTAATTTTTTTGCATAGTTAGATCAGATTAATTGTGCTCTTCAAAATGATATCCACTTTGATATATTTTTCGAACAAAAAAAATTGAGTCATTTTATACCAGTCTATACCATATGGTATTGACTGGTATTGAAATAAGAGCATACCTATGGTTTGAAAAGCGTACCATGATGGTATGGCACAAACCAAGACTGTAGGATGATTGAATACATGATAGTAGAAGTATATTAATTGTCATTTACGACTTTTAACATTGTATACCATAAAATACCACCCCGTACCATGGTGGTATTGTATGGTATTGTGTGGTATTTTTTGGTCTTGTAATTTGTTCACCCATAAATTTGTAGATCAAATAGATCATGATGAACTCGTCCCTGCTGTGCAAATGTTTTCAAAAACGAATGAAAAACGAAGAAAATACCATATGGTATGCAGTTGGTACCGAAAGGCCATAATTTTTTTTCCTCAAAAAATATTGAAAATTGATCTCATTTTGTAGAGCACGATGAACTCGTTCCATCTGTGCAAAAAAAATTAAAATCCGAGTTAAAACGAAAAAGATATGAGTCAATTAAGAAAACTAGTGAAAATAAAAATGATCTTTAATTCTCCATCTTTAGATCTGAATTTTCTAAATGAAGGGTCCAGATTTGGTTATTGATGGGTGCATAACCATGGGTTATGCACCCTATCTTGATAGTGTCTTCAACTCTCGCCATTCATGTTGGGCAGTTAGCACTTTTTGTTTTTTTGCACGTATCATATTTGGTCAGAGTTGGAGGGGGAAAAAAAGAAGAAATATATAGCTTGGATGAAACTTATGTCAAGATCCGAACTGGCTAATGCTGAAGATCAAAAGAAAAAAAAAAAAGCTATCCTCATCACAAGAGCTAGTTTTATTATATATAAACGTGAAGTGAGGTTACTGTTGCCAAAATAACTACATTTTGATACCTCAAATTTAATTAAATTACAAATTAGTCATTATAATGTATATTTTACATTTTGATAAACCAAATTTAATTTTAAAGTAAAATCATTGAACAATTATGCTTTAGTATCTAAACTTTATGAGATTTTCATACCTACAATTTTTAAAATTTACATATTGGTCCAATGTTTACATGTAACTTGAATCCATAAATCCAATCCACCAATTCATGAATCCAATCCACCGTAACATAAAATTATAAATTTAGTTTGTACCATTTTAAGATGTTTGATCACTCAACTGTAGAAGAAGATTCGACCATTTTGGCCTTTGATGAGATTTTTACTTCAAATAAACATGTATGATATCCATTTGAAATAATAATGATCATTTTTAAGAGAGCATTCTATTCGGTGATGTGACAACATATTTAGTAAAATATAATACGAGTACATTAAGATATTGATCTGTACGAAGTTTTTGTATGGCATTTTAATAGAACAATGTTTAAGAAAATCAACAGTAATAAAAATCATAAGACTTTATGTGTTTCTTTCATTGCCTTCTTCGTCTAACCATAATTAGTAATTGAACCATGAATCATTAACTTTTTCAGCTCAATATCGGGTCCAATTTAAAATAAAGATATATGACTATTACTTATTAGAAAGTCATCATTGTCCACTAAGGGATTTGAAGGCTTGAAATTTTTAGCGAGTTCCCGTTTGTATTCATTTTGCTTCTCTATAGAGTTTTTCTTTTTCACCCGGGCTAGATTTTCAAAATTATATGTTTGACTAGGTACCTACACATATCAAATAAATAGTTTCCATTTTTCTAAAAAAAGTAAATAATTATCATCTTAAATACATCACCATAAAAGGAATTAAACCTCAACTATGCAAATTATAGTTCGGTACATAAGCTTAATAGATCTTAGATTTATAGCCTAAATTTATTTTTTTTAGCGTACAAGTCCTCAAAAATCAAAATATTGATGGAACAATACATTTTAGTACCTAATTGTTTTTTACTACATTTTTGTACCTAAAATTTTGAAGTTCTACAAATAGTTCTAATTTTTGTATGTGTAATTAAAACACCTTCGAATAAATGGGTATCCACACCCAACTCATACACATTTAGATTATGTAAGTAAATATCCATACCCTACCCAAACTCATCTACAACTTCCAAACTCATATATAAGTCACCCATACCCTACCCATAATCAATGGGTCTACTTGAGTTTATGTAACTATAGTTTATTAGCCCAAAATTTCAAAATATTTGAAATTGGATGTTGACTGTCATATATCTTTTCTTATTCAATATCATATTGTCAAGTCAATATTATTAACAAAACTGCTAACAATTTTTTTTATTTTAGACTAATAATACTAACAAAATACTATAACAGGTCACATAATACATGCGTATATGCCATCTTCTCCCGCGACATCGCCACCTAGTTATTATATATATAGCTTGAATGATCAAAAGGGGAATAGTAAGAATCATGCAATCGTAGAGGCGACAAACATATCGGATGCATAGATTTATAAAATTGCATTCATGGATTCTGGGTTTTATTGGTGAGGTCAAACTAATTTTTTATTTATTTAAGTAGCACCTGACTTTAAAAATAAAATTATATCATTCTTATAAAAACAACTTTTGCAAACAAGGAGTTGGTCTAGTGGTGTATTACTACTGGTCTTGAAACTGAAGGTCCCATACTCGAATCCTTTAAGTAACACCTACCTAACTACAAACACAAATTTATATCACCCATACATATAAAAAAGGAATTTAGTTTGTAAATCCTTTTCAAATTTTAAGGTGCCTTTGTGTCATACTAAAAAATGTAGGCACTAATATGTACTTCAAAATCAAAATGTATGTCTTAAACAATCAAAGTTTAGGTACTAAAATGTGAAGTATACAAAATGTAGGTACTAAATTGTAATTTATAGAATTCCATTAACCCAACGTAAGCTGTTCACCACCGGTCTATTGGATTCGACTAAATACAGATTTGGTGGATACTTGCTGGATAAAATGAACTGTCATTCACATGTTATTAAAGTCGAATTATATTTATACTCCAATCAAGTGTAAACTAAGATTATATTTTTTTATACGAAATAGCGTGTTTTAAGTTTTAACTCAAACTCACTAATATTAATGCAAAACTTTGACCCAAACTCCCCATCGTTAGCAAACGCATCTGGCTCGAGTTATGGGGGCCCAAGAATCTATTAAGCCCACTACTGAGAGCAAACAGTCTGTAACTTAATTGGTCAAAAACCCTAAAAATGAATTTTGACCAACGACCATCCATCATATATAGGGATGGCAATGGATCGGGTCGGGGGCGGATAGTGCATATTCGTTACCCTACCCAAAGTGCTTCGGGTTTTACCCATACCCATACCCACATGTGAAACGGGTAGAAAATCAAAACTATGCCCATATCCGTTCGGGTTTCGGGTATCCACGGTTATCCATGAATATTAATTTCTCTTCATAACTCAAACCAATATGTTAACATTCACACGTATTCTTATATTAAGTAAGAGGAAAAGTACGACAAGAATTCACTAGAATGAAGAAAATTAACTAAAAAACACAATTTCATGAAAATGTTATATTTATATGCTAAATATAAAATATGTTAGAGAAATAATGATTATTTCTAGACAAAATACATATGCATGTGTATAATCGGGCGGGTTCGGGTCGGATAGTGAGAAATCCATGCCCACCCATTACCCGCAATATTCGGGTTCGGGTTTTACCCGTACCCACTAACTGTCCTTCGGGTTCGAGTTTTACCCTACCCGACTAGGCCGGATTCGGGCGGATATCCACGGTTACGGATATTTTTGCCATCCCTAATCATATACGTACATAGATCCGATATCGAGAACGGAGAACCACAACTTGGCACACCATTCTTTGACAATACATGTTGTATGCAAATGCATCATCTCTTCCATTAATCAAAATTCAAAACATAACAACTTAATTATCTCCCAGCGTTACTATTGAACCCGATTAAACAATTCCCTTAACATAACAAGATAATTCTAACCAGTGCCCTAAATAAGAAGCAGAGCTTTTCGCAACGTCCAACATAATATACGGCTAAGTGTCAGTGTAAGTCAAAAAGTACTCGAACTTGAAGCTCTACAATATTGCAGCTGAGTCAAATCCCCTGCATCTGATACTTCCTCCTTCAAATGAAGTCTCCTAAGCAGCCACTTCTTCCTTCTCACACTCTCATAATCATTTTCCAGAAGATCATACGCATCCAAGAAAAGCTCATCCGTCTCCCAGGGCCGCTATTCAATTCTGATGGTTCAACCACGTTGCTATGAGCCACAATGCTATCAGTTCTACCATCAACATAAGAAAACACCACACGATCATAGGTTGGAACAGGAACTGGGGTAGGCCAGAAAGGGACCTCCGGTTGGAAGACGTTCCAACAGAACCTCGATTCTAAGGTCGAAGTGCCACAAAGCTCGAGCTCTTCACTCTTGAAGTTGCAGGACACAGCATAGCAAGCACCGAAATTGGCATAAGCTAAATAGACGATTTCTGGCTTAGATGGGTGCATACCCAATACCCCTTTTACCTCCAAACTATTCATCAATCCTCCCCTGTTATTCTTTTGTAAATTGAATCTCCCGAGTATTGATCTCAAAGACATTCGATTCTCCAGCTTCCAATTCTTCTTACCTTCCAGTCTCCAAACACTCAATCCATCTACGGAACTGTCATCTCCCTCGAGCTGCTCTGCTACAATCATATGCAGAGAACCCTTCGAAACCCCAATGTCGAATCGGCATACCAATTGTGGGGAATGTGAATACAACTCGGAGAAATCGATGGTTTCCACTACTCCACCTATGTCGAACGGATCAAAACCGACTAACTGACGTGAATCGTCGTCCTTCCAGTAGACCTTCCCGTCGAAGGAAGGCAAGGTAATGTGGCTATCAGAGGTTACAAAATGCCCATACCCTTCCTGGAAATGGTTAAATCTGTCGACCCATTTTCCTGATTCGGAACAGAACACGGCGCCTCCATTTTCATACAAAATAACTACCCTGAACTTGAATTGGGAATCGATCAGTACCTGGTCTTTGAAACCACAGTAGCTGTAGCACGGCTGGCAGACGAAGCCCACCATGATCCTCTGGCTGCGGAGCGCTTCGCCTCGATTGGGGGCCAACGGAAGGATGACCCATTGTTTCGTGAAAGGGTTGCAGACGTAGAACCAATTCTCCACATAGTCGCGCGTCGTCAACCCGCAGAGGATCAGGTCGTGGCAGGATGCCAGCACGCGGAACCGAGGGCGGTATTTGTCTGGGATTGGGAGGAACCCCATGGTTTCCTGCTGGGATTGCGGAAAGAGGAGGGGGAATTCGTCTTCGCTGCCGTGAGTTGCTATGCGGCGGAGGAAATCTGGGAGGAAGTCGGGAGTGGAGATGAGGGAATTCCACCGCTTGCAGACGGATTTGCAGCGTAAGACGGATCTGGGGTTTGAGAGGCGGGTTAGGATTTCGAAGATTAGATTGTCGTCGAGGCTGCTGATGCCGGGAGAAGAAAGCTGCCAGGATTGTGATCTCGTCTGCGGTGGGGCGGTAACAGTCTTGCGGCGCTTGGAGAGTTCCATGGCGGCGGCGAATTTTGAAGAATTAACAGCTATGAAACTTCTAGGGATTGGGAGATTTGAGTGTTAATAATATATAAGATCTAGGAGAAAACCCTAATATGAAGTGGGATGAGAAAGATGGGTACGGATTCTCAGAGGCTTCGCGAAATCGGTTGCAGTAGAGACGGAAAAATTATCGCCAAAGTCGAATCCGTTCAGGAAAAGGAAAACAGGGGAATTGAGCCTTTGGTGTAACTATCTATAATTCAATCAGAATCAATAAAAATCAGTCATATGACTCATATTAGTGTCCTTTTTTCTGAAATTTTTTTAATTTTTCTTATATTACTATTTAACAGACGATTTCTCACTCGTTTTAAGTTGGAATTTAAATTTTTTTTGCACAATTATATCAGATTAATTGTGCTCTTCAAAATGATATCCACTTTGATATGTTTTTGGAACAAAAAAAATTGAATCATTTTTTACTAGTCTATACCATATGATATTGACTGATATCGAAATAAGAGCAATGTAGTCAAAAGCGAGTTTCTACGTAGAAACGTTTTGGGGATCTAGAAGCGTAAAATCGTAAGTTTTTAAGTTTTAAATCGGAGTTTTTAACTACGTAAGTTAAAAAAAAATGAGATTTTGTGTAGAAGCGTTTTAGTGACTTAGAAACGTAAAATCGTAAGTTTTTAAGTTTTAAAGCGCGATTTTGACTACATTGAATAAGAGCATACCATATGGTAAGAAAAGCGTACTATGGTGGTATGAACATACCAAGACTATAGGATGGTTGAATACATGATAGTAAGAGTATACTAACTGTCATTTACGACTTTCAACATTGTGTACCACAAGATACCACCCTGTAGCAGGGTGGTATTGTATGTATTGTGTGGTATTTTTTTGTCCTGAATTTTGTTTACCTATAAATTTATAGATCCAATAGATCATGATGAACTCGTTCCTTCTGTGCAAAAAAATTCATAAACGACTTCAAAACGAAAAAGATACCATATGGTATGCAGTTGGTAACGAGAGGCAATAAAAAAAATTCTCAAAAAATATTGGAAATGGATCTCATTTTGTAGTGCACAACGAACTCGTTCCATCTGTGCAAAAAATTTTGAAATCCGAGTTAAAACGAAGAAGATATGAGTCAATTAAAAAAATAAGAGAAAATAAAATTGCATTTAATTCTCCACCCTTAGATCTGGATTTTCTGAATGAAGGGTTTAGATTTAGTTACTCATGGATGCATAACCACTTTATCTTGAGCCGAATAATAAGGCCAAGTTTGGAAATGGCGTTTTTCCATAACATAAACCACATTTTCGCATGATTAGATTCAGTGTTGTCCCTTCTACTTAGGGATGGCAATCAAACCCATGACTGCGGGTACCCGCTCGCCCCCAACTCAGTCAACGCGGGGAATCCCCTTTTTAACCGGGTATGGGTAAAACCTGCAAAACGTTTGATGGGTATGAAGCGGGTATGGTTTTAGCCTCCCCACCCCATACCCATACACATACCCGCCCCATTAGGATAATTTCTTCACATATAAAAAATACATTAGACTAAATTGTAACCTATCTATAATAGTGAGGGCAACTCAAAAAAATATTTAGTAGAAATGTAATTGGGTGGCTATCCAAATCAAAACTTGATTCTTTTACCTCAACTCTCCCTTCACTCTTTCATTGTTTCGATTGTTAACAAGATTATGTTAGTTAGTTATTACTTAATAGATGTGTTAGAGTAAGAGAATGATTTAGATTACATTGCATTCTATTTTATGGATTAACGGATGCTTTAGGATAATATGCTTTGAACCGTATTAAGAATGATTGTCTCTTTGTCGACTTCATGATATAGTATGTGCATTTAGTGTTATAATTGAAAATTTATATATAAAATTTTAGGAGTTATCATGTTGGATATACAGGCCGGATATTACCCATGGGTACCCGAAAGGCCGAAACCCACGGGTACGGGGATGGGTTTGGCAAACCCTTGTGCATGGGTATGGGACGGGTATGGATTTGGATATTTGAAAGCGGGGATGGGGATAGTTTAGCCAAACCAGCCCCATTGCCATCCCTACTGTTGGTTGCGTCGAGCGCGAGACGTTCCGGCCGTTTCTCCGTATTTCTTCAAACAATTGAGCACCTGCAAAACCCTAATCGAACCTTTTGCCAAGAACAAGTGAAAGAAGGGAAAGTAGACTGAGTTTGATCGGAGAAGACTCTGCTATTCAGAGGTCTTCGTGTGATCAAAGAATAAGCTTCTTGTAATGGGCTTTTGACACTTAAGCCCAATTGACCCACACTCCTTGTACGAAGTCCACCTTAAGATTTGGGGGTCAGATTACAACTAAAACTAAAAGGCCAAACTAACTTAATCAACTCAAACGATGCGCTTTACCAACACATTAGCATCTGTCTTTCTTCTCTCTTTCGGATCAATAGGTGTCCTGCAATTTGAATAAAGAACAGCCCAAGAACAATATTCCAGAACCAGACTAAACCCAGTAAATGAAACGGAACCTATATCAAACCAGGGCCTGAATCGATTCACCAGACCCGTCCCGGTGAGCGCTAGAGCTTCGTCTTCCTTCGTAAGTCCTGGTCGATTTCCCCTGCACTCAAAGATTGAAACAGAGCACACAAATAGACAAAGCCGACCCTGAAACTGAAATGCAGAGTAGAAACACGACACACGATTTTTACGTGGTTTCCAGTATTGGGAGAATAAGAATCTCAATACTGACTACTCCACGGTCAGAGATTCGCAGTGCGCGATCTCCGACGTTTCACTAATGATTTTACGTTAAGTTCTCAAATTTACATAAACACTCAAACCCGTTCGATCAGCTCCCCGCTTGATCGAAGCTTACTCTCTATCGGCTACCCAGCTAATAGAAACCCTGATATTTCCCCAATATCAGAACCCAGAAATCTCCCCGACTCCTGTGCTGACTTTTCTCTCAAAATCACTCGCAAATCCCCTTTGCACTCTTTGATTTTGTGCTGCTGAAAAGTCTTCCTATCACTCCAGCTTTCTTCTCTTTATATACTACTCTGGTGACCAAAAGCATCTGCAAGAGAAATACTCTCCTTCCTTGTTTAGTTTCCTTTGATTTTGCAACCTTCTATTTGAGACAAGTTGACCGTTGCCTTGAGCTATCTTCCCATGTTTAGCATATCTCGTATTCTCTTAGAAATGGTAAGCTTCTGATTTGTAAATCTCCCATCAAAGGAAAGTTCCTCCTTCCAACCTGTTGATGTTGATATGTTCGGTTGCTGACGTGACTGTTGAATGGCTTTGCTTGAGCGCCAAGCCATTTAGAGAAAATGCACCTACTGTGATCTGCCACAGTCTTTCCTCCTTTGTTGATCAACCCGTCCATTTGGCATTTGCACAGCTTTTGCAGAATCTGTATACAATATAAGTTTCTCTTCCTGCACTCTCAATTAATTCATTAGTTTCGAATGCACATACAACCCAATTGTTTTGCTAATGACAAGTTTGCTCCCAACAATCTCCCCCTAAACTTGATATTAGCATCACTAGCATTTTGACACATGATATGGGCATAATTACACAAATTGGAGAGAGCACAGATACATTTATCATTTGGTAACACACTTAAATATGTCTCCCCCTCAGTTCTAGCATTCAGCCACTGATCGACCACTTAATAATGCTCCCCCTCAGTTAAAGAGTTTACTCCCTTAGGTTGCAACTGTTTTGCTACTGACAAAACCTCGTAAAACGATTTCCCAAATTTTCTCTTTGATGAAAATTACCCATATGTTGCGAAATCTCAATTCATTAGCATGAAAGTCATTCAACACTGGATTTGAAAACACTAGTCAATTCTCCCCCTTAATTTTGATCAAAGAAGAGCGATCTAGAACCAAATTCATCTAACCACACTCATGCTCCTCCTCAAATAAGCACTTTCTCTCACAAAGGCTTTAACCATTGCAGCCACAACAAAAGAGCTACCCTAAGTGACACATAAAGCAAGATAGTAGTAATTTCTAGATTAGTACTCCAGACCTATGACAACCAAATTTACTGGACCAACCAATCATCAATGCGGGAAGAGACTCTTAACATCAATCCATATACTGCAACAATTCCCCTCATGAAGTCACTCACGTTGACTAAACAACAAGACTGATTATGAAAAGCAAAGTGCAACTAGTCAAGACTTTCCTACTCAACCAAATGATCCATTTGAAACTAAGATTATGGCCTCTGAGACTCAAGGAAGTTCTTCAAATTCAAAAGACAGTTGAAGTTCGTTCTTCCTTTCTTAGACGATACTACTCTAATGTCCTAGAGCTAAAGTCTAATGCTGACAACCGACCTCAAATTTTCAGATTTCCCATGACACAAGCTATATCATAATAAGAAGTTTATTAATCTAACTGGGTGTTCATCCTTTCTTAGAATGAGAGTTGATTCCAAAACCTTGAAGCATTACAGTAGGGATAGCTACAGCCGGAACTGAACTTGTTCCGCTTAAGCGAAATTGCAATCAAGGTGAATATGATGCTTAGTCATTTTACCCAACTAAAAAATTAGCTTGTCGATGAAAATCTATGAGACACCCTTTAGAAGAAGGTCCTAGACAATACTAATCATTCATTTTCACAAGAGTGGAGAGAGATGCTTACCTGAACAAGTTTTGCACAATGTCAGGAACCCACAAGACCTAAAGATGATACTAAGCATGACAAGTAACTGTTACAGTGCAAGTCCATTTACTGAGATATTTTCTGGATTCATTAAAATGTATGGAAAAACCAGCACCTACTCATCTTCGTTGAACTCTTTTTATTTGACCAAGCATATCATTCACACATAATTTTTAGAATTCATGTTTCCATGGATGCCTATAAGACTCAAACTAATTAACATGCAAAAAGAGAGCTTCCTGATACTGACTAATTCAAAGGTTTCAAACACTGATATGTTCACAGTATCAGTATTCACTTGATAGACACAACTTGACCCACTAAGACACATAACAACTTTGATTTAGGCCAGAAGATTAATTTCTAGAAAATTATAGTCTATAGATTTCAAACCAGACATTATTACCAAGGATCAACATACCTGTCGTGCCATTTTTAAGACTGGTAAATAACTAGTTCTTACCGTACAGTGTGAGCACCCTCTTCCGAGAATATGATTTGTCTCCATGCTCACTTGGAAGCAAATCTGCACACTTAACAGTCATGTTGTTTTGCGAACCCAGATAAACTCGGGTTCCTTTCTTTTCTGAAAGTTAACACTGTTATTTTTATTCCAGAAGCAATTCCTACTTAAATGTCCTATTTTGTGACAGGTAAAACAAGTTCTTATGTTCCGAGAGCGAGAATGCACATGATTCCAGGTCTTTCTATTCCAGTAGTATTCATGCTTTTGTTTATTAGTGAGTTTATTGATTTCAAGTCTCAAGCTCTCAATATGTCGAATTAATGCCTTGTTGTCTATTTCAAGTTTTCTTGATTTCTCAATATCACTTGAACTGCACTTTTCATTAAACTCGCAAGGGGTAACACACCTACACAGCATTCCTGATTCCTTGTTCTTATTATTTTTGCTGTTACTATCTACTGCATTCATGTTTATTTCTGACTCAACTGTTTTTCCCTTGAGCCTTTTGTTTTCAGATCTCAACTTCTCTAGTTCAAGTTTAGTACTTTCATGATTATGACAGTTTTTTTTAAGCCTATCATTTTCAAGCTTTAACTCTTCTTGAGTGTCGGCCAGATTTTTGCATTTGATTTTCGCTTCATTATGCTCTTCTTTTAGCTTACTGTATTTTACCTTAACCACAGCAAATTCGAGTTGAATACTTCTAATAGTGTTTGTTAGGGGATCATCATCACTGTAATAATCTGATTCACTAAAGTCAGGAGGCTTACTTACCTCAAATGGTCTGCTGTGAGCATCGAGTGACACATCATCAATAGCCATCAAGCAAGCATCTTTCTTGTGAGGAAGCTCTTCGTAGTCGTCCTCATCATCTTCACTGCAGCTCCAGGTTGCGGCCATAGCTTTCTCCTTCCTCCAGAGAGGACATTCTGCCTTGATGTGACCCTGTCGTCCACATTTGTAACAACCTGCTTGATTTTTCTCGGTTGAACAGTTTTCTTTTCTTGTTTTCTGATTTTGACGATTTGAACCTTGTTTCCTAAATCCTTGATCTTTCTCAGCATCTCTGTCCTTGTATTGATTTGAGAAGTTGCCCCGTCTTCTTTCTTTTCTCATTCTCATGAGCTGCGTTATGCGCTTGTTGAGAATAGCAAGCTCATCATTGTCCATATCCTCATAGTCGTCTGAGTCTTCCTCATAGGCATGAGTTCTGAATGCTATCCCCTTCCTATCCTTCTTATTTTCTTCATTGTTTTCTCTCTTTAGCTTTTCTTCATAGGTAGCGAGAGAGCCGATGAGTTCATCGACATTCAGAGTACTCAAGTTCTTTGCCTCTTCTATTGCTGTGACCTTAGGATCCCATATCTTTGGTAGAGACCACAGAATTTTGCGGACAAGGTCTCCGCTTTCGTATGATACACCCAGGTTCTCAAGACTATTCACAATGTTAGTGAATCTTTCTGACATGTCTCTGATGGATTCTCCATCATCCATCTTGAAGGTTTCGAACTCGGTTTTCAGCATATTAATCCGAGAAATTTTCACTTGAGATGTGCCTTCGTATGTTACCTGGAGTTTGTCCCATATCTCCTTTGCAGTTTTGCACCCGGAGACTTTGTGATATTCCTCAGGACCCAGCGAGCAGTACATTAAATTGGTAGCCTTGCAATTTTGCTGGTATTTCTCGTAATCATCGTCTGTCCACTTGCTTCGATCTTCCTTGAGCTCGAATGGACCATCGATGACCCGATTCCATATTTTTGGATCGGTGGAGCCGATAAACAGTTCCATGCGATTCTTCCAGTAGCCGTAGTTTACACCTTCGAACCTCGGAGGTCGATTCTGTGAGAACCCATCGGCCAGGTACAACACCGCACCCTTTCCCGAACCCGACGCCATTTATTCACTTCCGGAGATCGTAGGATCTTATTCGACGGAACCGTGCTCTGATACCACGTGTTGGTTGCGTCGAGCGCGAGACGTTCCGGCCGTTTCTCCGTATTTCTTCAAACAATTGAGCACCTGCAAAACCCTAATCGAACCTTTTGCCAAGAACAAGTGAGAGAAGGGAAAGTAGACTGAGTTTGATCGGAGAAGACTCTGCTATTCAGAGGTCTTCGTGTGATCAAAGAATAAGCTTCTTGTAATGGGCTTTTGACACTTAAGCCCAATTGACCCACACTCCTTGTACGAAGTCCACCTTAAGATTTGGGGGTCAGATTACAACTAAAACTAAAAGGCCAAACTAACTTAATCAACTCAAACGATGCGCTTTACCAACACATTAGCATCTGTCTTTCTTCTCTCTTTCGGATCAATAGGTGTCCTGCAATTTGAATAAAGAACAGCCCAAGAACAATATTCCAGAACCAGACTAAACCCAGTAAATGAAACGAAACCTATATCAAACCAGGGCCTGAATCGATTCACCAGACCCGTCCCGGTGAGCGCTAGAGCTTCGTCTTCCTTCGTAAGTCCTGGTCGATTTCCCCTGCACTCAAAGATTGAAACAGAGCACACAAATAGACAAAGCCGACCCTGAAACTGAAATGCAGAGTAGAAACACGACACACGATTTTTACGTGGTTTCCAGTATTGGGAGAATAAGAATCCCAATACTGACTACTCCACGGTCAGAGATTCGCAGTGCGCGATCTCCGACGTTTCACTAATGATTTTACGTTAAGTTCTCAAATTTACATAAACACTCAAACCCGTTCGATCAGCTCCCCGCTTGATCGAAGCTTACTCTCTATCGGCTACCCAGCTAATAGAAACCCTGATATTTCCCCAATATCAGAACCCAGAAATCTCCCCGACTCCTGTGCTGACTTTTCTCTCAAAATCACTCGCAAATCCCCTTTGCACTCTTTGATTTTGTGCTGCTGAAAAGTCTGCCTATCACTCCAGCTTTCTTCTCTTTATATACTACTCTGGTGACCAAAAGCATCTGCAAGAGAAATACTCTCCTTCCTTGTTTAGTTTCCTTTGATTTTGCAACCTTCTATTTGAGACAAGTTGACCGTTGCCTTGAGCTATCTTCCCATGTTTAGCATATCTCGTATTCTCTTAGAAATGGTAAGCTTCTGATTTGTAAATCTCCCATCAAAGGAAAGTTCCTCCTTCCAACCTGTTGATGTTGAGATGTTCGGTTGCTGACGTGACTGTTGAATGGCTTTGCTTGAGCGCCAAGCCATTTAGAGAAAATGCACCTACTGTGATCTGCCACAGTCTTTCCTCCTTTGTTGATCAACCCGTCCATTTGGCATTTGCACAGCTTTTGCAGAATCTGTATACAATATAAGTTTCTCTTCCTGCACTCTCAATTAATTCATTAGTTTCGAATGCACATACAACCCAATTGTTTTGCTAATGACAAGTTTGCTCCCAACACCTACTTCTACTAAGGACTCGGAATTCTGGAATCTCTTGTGGAAACTCCACGTTCCGCCTAAAGTGCGCATGTTCCTATGAAAAGCAAGGAGAAATATTTTACTAGTGGGGTGCCACATTGAAGATTGAATTGATTTGAGGATGCCAGGCCAGACTGCCTCTTTTATAGTCTCTCTGAAACTCAATTACATGTATTGCGTGAGTGCAACTGGATCAAAAGCATATGCCAATTTTGGGAGGAGAAAGAGATGTTTGAGATTGGAGGAGATAAATCTTGTATCGACTGGCTTAAGGGAGTTTGGAAGAAATTCGAAGAGGAGAAAATCCAAAAATCGGTGTGGTGTTGTGGTACCTATGGAAGGAATGTTGAAATCATCTGAACAACAACCATAAACTTGTTGAAGCTGAGATTATCCCACGAGCCTTGGCTTGGCTCTGCTCCTTCCTTGATGCTAACTGTTCCCAGGGGTCGATCTCCTTTGCATGAACTCAAGCATCTATCTATTGTTGGGACTTTTTAGGGACAAGGGTATACGTACGATAGCCCGAGACCGGGTGACTAGGATTATGATAGAGTCGTGAACTACGTTCACTTTCCGTAAAGAATATTTCCACCCTCAACAAGCCTAGGGTTACACGAAATTTCTTCGTAGGATAAAACTATCACCACTTTAGGTTCCAGACTTAAGTACCTAAAGCATACTTAGAAGTTTAATAGGAAGAAGAATGAATTTTGGTGTGTCTCCTCCACCAGCCGAACACATCTATTTATAGTGGTTGAAACAATGCGTTGCTTTACCATGAAACATTGTATTGCTTCGGCTCATGCCTTAATGATCAACCGCCAATATCCAAGCAATATATTGCTTCGTACATGGCTTAATTATCATTAGCCAAGCACCGCCTTGTTTCATTAATTTTGGATAATCAACCGCCTTGTTCCAAAAGTTGCTTCCCTTCACAAATTAATGCAACGTTTCCCTTTATACTTGAGGAGAATGGGAGCACGTTTAAAATGATAATCATGAGTTTGAAGCAATTTTCTCATTGGATCACTTTGGTTAGTTCACTTCATTTGAACTGAACCGGTTGATTATTTTTAAACCATCCGGTTCTATCCAAAATTCCAACATTCCTCCCCCATTTTAGTGTATTCAAAGAATCCACTAAAATTACAACATTCTTCCAATAAAACTTAAGCATAAATGAAAATGTCGTGACGATTGAATTTTCACCTTAGTATATTACACTTGACGAATACTCGAATACAAAGGGTGTCGGTAACGATTGAGCCCATTGACTCATATGAATATTCGAAGATAATATACACTTAAGTTTTCAAAACTTCTAAGCGCCTTGACACTATTATCCGCCATGTGTCCAATCCTTCTCATAAGCGCACACGAAACCAAAGTCCGGGTTTCTTGAAGCGGCTACACTTCATGCTTACGTAGGTTGAATCTCTTATTCATGTACCCGCATAATACACTTTTTCAAAGATTCAATTAAGAAGTTTGAACTTCATCCTCTTCTCTCATGCAGGATAACAAGCACATACCTCGGGATGACAAATTTTGTGCTTCAATATCTGATAATAAGCTTTCCACATTGAATTCAGCCTCTAACGTTGTATTAGAGGGGAATTGGGTGTCCCATTACCAGAAATTATATGGACTTTAACCCATCCCTTTCACAGACTTGATCACCAAGTCACTAGTTAACCACTTCGTCAAATGATCAACCAAATTATTTCGAGTCTGGTCATACTGTATAGACACAACACTATGAATGATCAGTTCACAGCTTTTACCGTGTCTTACTCCCACATGACCGTACTTGTCATTTTTCACTTGACTATATGCCTTAGCCAAATTAGCATTACTATCACAAAAGATAGTAATATGTGACATTGGTTTAGGCCATAAATATATGTCATAAACCAAACCTCTCAACAATAATGCCTTTTCTCTAAGAGAAATCAAGGCCACACAAACTTTGATTCCATAGTGAAACTTAGTGATGCAAGTTTGCTTTCTAGAGGCCCAAAATATGGCACCTCTCCCAAGCAAGAGGACCCATCTCAATGTTGAAGTATCACCTTTAACATGAGAAATCCAACTAACATCAACAAATCCTTCCAATATTGATGGAAGGCCACTATAAGTTAATACAATGTGTCTTTGACATATCCTAGTACACGCCTCATTTCATTTCAAATGATGAGAACTAGGATTCATCTCGTACCAACTTAATTGTTCTATCGCATATGCGATATCTAGCATCATGTAAGTCATGCATACATCGAGCCCCCAATTTGACATAGAATACTCCAGTTGTAAAACTGATTTCCAGTATTAACCATAAGTTCCATACTTGGATCCATTGGGGTCTTTAACCCACTACAATTCTTACTATGGAATTTATGCAAGTACCTTCTCATGCAGAAAAATTGAGAGAAGGACTCTTCTTTGTCGTTCCGCTTGATTCAATACACAGAATCACATTTGCCTCCCCCATGTCCTACATGGAGAATTGAAATAATAACTTTTTATCAAAGTTCACTTATCTTTTATTGGTTCCAAAGATAACCATGTCTTATAAATACAAATGTACGATGACTTCATTACCAGAATCATCATAAATTGTGTACACATTTTGTCTCCTTGGTCTAAAATAACATAAACCACTAGACAAAATCACTTATCTTTGATTGGCCCAAAGATAAATATGTCATCTACATACAAACACAACGACTCTATTACCAGAATCATCAAACATTGTATATACAATTTTGTCTCCTTGGTTTAACGTAAACCACTTAGACAAAACCACACCATCAAACCACTAGACAAATCCATATTTTTCTAGCACTTCGTAAACGTCGAATAGAGAATTAGATAAATTAACCATTGAGTATGTGACCTACCCAAAGGCAATTTTCATTCTACTATTTCTCCATTTTACGAATCATTCTCCTTCTTCCTCATCTTCGAATCATTCCTCTTTCAAGTTACCTTCCGGATATGGAATACCCCATGAGACTAGTACGAAGAACACCCATCTTCTACTGCCATCGATGAAATACCCATCATCGAAAATTCTCATAATTCCATAGACCAGAACCGGTTTCTTGTAAAGAGCGGTTCGAGCCATCGTACCGAAAATATTCTTTACGATTGTTGGGACTTTTAGGCACGAGGGTACACGTACGATAGCCCGAGACCGGGGGACTAGGATTATGATAGAGTCGTGAACTACGTTCACTTTCCGTAAAGAATATTTCCACCCTCAACAAGCCTAGGGTTACACGAAATTTCTTCGTAGGATAAAACTATCACCACTTTAGGTTCCAGGCTTAAGTACCTAAAGCATACTTAGAAGTTTAATAGGAAGAAGAATGAATTTTGGTGTGTCTCCTCCACCAGCCGAACACATCTATTTATAGTGGTTGAAACAATGCGTTGCTTTACCATGAAACATTGTATTGCTTCGGCTCATGCCTTAATGATCAACCGCCAATATCCAAGCAATATATTGCTTCGTACATGGCTTAATTATCATTAGCCAAGCACCGCCTTGTTTCATTAATTTTGGATAATCAACCGCCTTGTTCCAAAAGTTGCTTCCCTTCACAAATTAATGCAACGTTTCCCTTTATACTTGAGGAGAATGGGAGCACGTTTAAAATGATAATCATGAGTTTGAAGCAATTTTCTCATTGGATCACTTTGGTTAGTTCACTTCATTTGAACTGAACCGGTTGATTATTTTTAAACCATCCGGTTCTATCCAAAATTCCAACATCTATCCCCAACAGATGATCTCCGCCTCTGAGGGAGTCTTCAAGCTAAACTCTGACGCGGGTGTTCTGCAGCAGTCTGGAGTTGGTCTCGATCGGGTGCATCATTTGGGATTGGAAGGGAGAGTTCCAAGGGGCCACTGCTATGATGGATAAGGGGGTTTGCAGGCCAATTGAAGCATAGGCGAGGGCAATCTTGATGGAGCTTCGGGAGGCAAACAGAAGAGAGCTCAGCCCTCTCATTGTGGAATAAGATTGCCAAGCGTTGAGTTGCAATTGATTAAAAGGGAAAGGGACCGTATTGAGTTGGGGGTTTGGTGTGACGAGATCTTGAGATTGGTGGAGGTTAATTCGAATTTCTCGAGGATTCCAGTGACTTGGAATTTCACCCCTTGAAAGAACAATGTCATCGCTCACTGCTTTGCCCACTTTGTTGGGGTGTGGGATCGTCAGGTGGTTTGGGTGGATAATCCACTGGTTTCTCTTCTTTGTTTCATTGAAGCCGATCTGGGTCGGGTCTCTTTGGACCCATCATAATGTTTTGCTGATTAAATGAATTCATGTTCCCGTAAAAAAAAAAAAACAAGGTTGTCTGTTCGGTGCCATTAAGTGAAGAAACCGAACCGTTAAGAGGGATTGTTAGTTTTCAGTCTCTTAACTATTTGTTTCGGTCTAAAGAAACCAAACGGAGGGAGAGTGCACCAAATAGTTAAGCGTTAAAGGCAATGCATCAAACCCTACCAAAGAATGTGTATATGTTTCTTATCGGTATTTTAATTTAGACCAAATCGAACCGTTAAGGTACAAAGTGCTTTTGGGCTGAAAACTCAAAACCATTAAGTTTTTGTCGATTTGATTTAAACCGAAAAATCGATATCCCATACCTGATTTGATTTAAAACTCAAAACCATTCAATTATTTATTTTTATAGATTAGTCTAACTACAAACACAAAAGAGTCTCATAGCTATTAATAAATGCAGTTCAACTAACAAGAGAACACTTTACGAACTTTGTACAAGAGATACCCAATTCCACCGCGGTTTTTGCTCCCCTTGCACCTCATTTTTATTATGAAATCGTAGTTTAACCGTATTTCATACCTTTAAAAACCACCTACCAGCTTAAACTCCACTAGGTCCTAGGTCAGACTGAATAAAATACAATATGATTTTACAATCCCTACACTAAACTACCACTTAAAGCTGGTAAAGGAAAATACTGAGAATATCCCCGATGACTTGAGACGAATGTGTAAAGATTATTCAAGGCCTTTAAGTATCAACATTACCACAATAGTGAGTGTCTAATATAGAATCTCCAAAAAGATTTTAAAAGAAAAAAAAAACTCTTTTTAAGTTACAAGAACAAATGCATGTCAATCTGAAGAACGGCAACCACCAAATAGCCTGACCTAAGAAAAACACAAAAAGGATTCTTTTGGCTAATAACAGATCCAGTTTAACTAAAAAATGAACCCTGTTCATTGGAGTCTTTCCCTTGCTTCGGTTATCCCTTCATCATTCTTTGAATGCAATATAAGGGGGGAATGATGATGTTCAAAACATGATTTTATGTTCAGGGAGGATGGATGAGCTGTTGCTGCCTCTTTACGTCTTCTTCAAGAGGTATCCCAATAACATCCCCAGTAATCCCACAAACACGACGAACATAAATGACACTCCACCACGGTTTCTGCTTCCCTCCCGCCTGATCAGTTCCTGCAATCAGAAAATACCCTCTGGCGTAAGACGAATTCCAAGACATAAATCTTGATACCTTTGAGAACACGGGTAAACAGGCAACCTTTTCTAAGAACAATGAAGCAGAACAATTTTTCATCCAGTACAACCAATTTACTTTGATGTTTCTAAGCAACTGACATATATATATTCATGGCCTTCGACTGACCCTGTTCTCAGGCTTAAATCTTAGCAAAAATAACCAAACATGCAAAGCCCACCCCCGTGGTGGTATTTAAACATTCATAACTATACCCGACAAAGGCACAAGCCATTAGTTAATTCTATGGTGCAAACCATATCTGACCTAACAGGGTATGTTAAAGCCTAAAGGGGTTGACTTGATAGAACTCCATTTTCACTCACTGAATGTGCCTTCAATCCAGAGAGAAGAAACCATTGAGTATTTACATTTTTGTGACTTCCCCTTTCTCTTACTAGTTATTACCTTAATATTTTGATTTGATAAGGAATAAATTCCTGCAGAAATACCAACTAACAGAATGGCACTTGACAAATGCATAGGGAAAAGAGATAACTCTCGATGCATTTCACCATGATAGAAATGTGAACATAAAGCATCTTGACACTTGAAACATGAATCAATTCTTTATGCGAACTGATAAATAAATACCATAAAAAAGAATAATAAATGATTTGACTTACTAATTCCTGACGAAGCTTGTTGTTCTGCTGCATGGCATTGTTCTTTTCCTCGGTCAGCTTTGAAATAAGGGCTTTAGCCTGTAATTACATCAACATAAGCAGAGCTTGTAACTAAAACTGTTTGGCCAAGTGCCAGGCTTACTAATCCCATGGAAAAAGAATAAAAACCATAATCATGAAGACAGAAGATGCATTGCTGATATAGCAATGTGTTTCCGGTCCAGATATAAAGGTATAATAGGAGATCAAAAAGCAATAAAGAGCTTCTGCCAGTACATGTATCAAGAATTAGAGCAGCAAATGCCTAAGAATCCTTTACCAAACAACATATAAAAAACGGAGGCATAACACATATACAAATCCCTAGCCCTCTGTATATATACAGAAACAGAAACCACATGAATGAGGGGAAGAGCAGAACTTAAAGCTGAGAATACATTTAGAGACAACCACAATCCAGACAGACAAGCACAGGAGCCATTGCACTACTACTCCAGAAGTCAGATGTATGTATGCCTAACAAGGACCTCCAGAACTTCATAACACAGTTTCCATAGTATTAAACCACTACCATAAAACTGCCTTATAGAAGTAACGAGTGCAGCAACAACCAATAGAATAGACAGCAGTGAGGGTTGAAGAACACAGCAGAAAAGTGACAAAAACAGAATATGACACAGCTAATAAGGTAAAAATAACATTTTAGATGTTTTATACACCACTCAAAACATTGGTAACGGTTTGTGGCAAATGTTGGCTCGCATCCCTTTTGCACACATTCCAGCCATGTGTAACATTACTAAAAGCTCAACAAAAAGAAATAAACCAATCATCCAGATAACATTGGCCGTTTCTTCAACAGTTTCAACATGTGGGTGTGGAACAAGCAAGGGCAAGCCTAGCAACTGATGTATCATTAATACCTATACATCTCGAGCATTTTCATGGCACAATAATCAGAATCATGCTTCAATTCGCATGAAGCACAATAGAAAATAATATATAACCATAAGATTCTACAACTTGAAATTTCTTTTCCTATTCAGAACTCTCTAACGTCTTAAAGTCCATATTATAAAACCTACTGCAAACATAGATTCGTAATATCTACCCAAATGAAAATATAACCATGGATATTCGTATACAAATACAACAATTAGCAAAGCCTACAGGAAAAATTATCCACCACGAGATACTTGAATACAGATTTGAACTTTTACCTCAGGAGACTTGTCTTCCGTATCAAACCGCTGGACAAATGCTTTTGAAGCCTGCAACCATCAATCATAAGGCCCAGATATCAGCACCAGATCACCTAAATGCAGCAAAACTAGAAGTACCATCAATAGAAAGAATAAGTACTCACAGCAGCAAACTCAGCACCGTTTACATGACTATTGTCAGAGACAGAACCGCGTGGTGAAGACCCTTCCTCTGAACCTTCGGGAACAGGAGAAGGCGGTTGAGGTGGAGCTACATAGACAACTCTCAACTTGGTTTCCTCAACCTGGTGTCCTGCCTCCTTGTTGAACTACAGAATCCCAAGTATCCATGATCAATAGCCTCGAACAAGAATTCTACACGACAAGCAGAACATAAGCACAGCAACATAAAAATTGTACCATCTCAGCAGTGATATCCTTTACAGCAGAACCATCGGGAGCTTTTACGCTCTGTAGCAAAAACTTGTCCTTGCACTGCATGTCAGCAGGAGCCTCCTTTTGCGCTTGCATTGTAACTGAAAGCAAAACGTTGGAGTGCCATGAGCAGAATCACCCCAATAACCAACCAACCCACGCCATAAATCTTTCCAACAAAACTCAACAATAAACAATCGGATACCACAGAGATTACCTATAATATCACATGTTGAGCGAGGCAAGACGACCCCTGCATTCGGCCGAACGCAGTACTTCTTCGGATTCGTTGTTTTGACCTAGATGCAAACATAATCAGTTAACCACCATCACCGATCCAAAAAAAAAAAACAGCTAGCCTTACAAATCAAGAAATCGCATATCTACATTCTGCACTTGAAATTGAAGCCATAATCGAGCATGAGATTTCGAGCTGCTCCCGCGATCGGACTCGAATTGCCGCAGAAGAGAAATGGAGCAGAAAGAAACAAACACAAACAGAAAAAGTACAAACAACTCAAAAGAGAAAGATGATTCAGAAACTCCATTCCCCATCCTAAGCAGCCAAACAGAAGTACCACATCACGAAAACGACAAGAACTCGATCCCGCCGCAAACGGGAATGGAATAATTCCAAATTGTGACAACAGAACACCAGAAGGAGAGAGAGGAAAAAAGTCGCTGGGAGAAAGGACGAAGAAATCGTCACCTTGAAAGCCACATAGCTATCGGTTTTGTTGGATAACTGAAGCGAACATGAGATCTGCTTCTTCAATTCAACTGAGTCCACAAACAAAAACAAAAAAGAGGAGAGGGTGAGGAACGCAGAAGCGGCAATCAGAAAAGGAACGAACAAAGAGAGATCTGCGGTGGGGGAACTGACAAGGAAATTTGAGCTCTAGAGGTTCGATGCTGAGAAGCTCTCCCGTACTCATTTTTTCGGTAGTCTTTCTTCTATCTTTTCTTCTTCGCTTTACCTGGAATTCGTAGGAGAGGTCTTCTTCTCGATGGTGGAAAAAAAGAAAACCAGGAGAAGAAGGAAGAGAAGGAGAGAAGATCCGGAAATATATCAGAAGAGAGAGAGGGGAATCTGTTTTTGGGAAAATTTTGATTTACGGTGGCAGAGAATTTTAGACGAGCGGAGAGATCGAGACAGAGAGAGAGAGGAAAAAGGGGGTGTTTGGGTCTTTTACTGTTCTAATTTTTCTCTCTCCGTGGCTGGCAATGGTGGCAGGCAGGCAAACATAAATGGCAAGGTTTTCTCGTTCGGCGCTGCCGTGGCCTCTCGTTTTTTGTTTTTCTCTCCGATGACGATAACATCACACTAGGCATGACAAATTTTACAATGCTATGTTATAGGCTATTATCTTTATGGTAAAACTTGAAGTTGTATCTTTGATGTTATAGTATAAACTTAACTCCAATGTATCAGTTTAAAACTCTCAATTAAGGCACAAGTATAACCTTAACTAGGTGCAATACAGGGTAACTATATTTAAATATCGATCCGAGCAGGTTCATGTATATCTACTTTGATTGTTTGTAACATTATTTAGCGGTTCATTTTTTGTGAAAACAACAATCTAAAGGTAAAACGTTTGCAAAAGTAAATGAATTTGACACTAATTTAGAAGGCTTCACCCGGGTGTTGCTCCCCCTAACTAGCAATTACGACTTGTTTGATCGAATGGACGTGTGTGGTGAGGGGGTTGTAAACCGTAGGGAAGTGTAACATGTGGCCAAACGCCACCCTCTTAGTCTCTAGGTCGAGGGAAAGGGATGTGATCCAAACCACCGACGTGACTCTCTCGATCTATTGACTAAGGATTGGTTAGACTTCAGCCTCGAATCGGAGTTCGGATGGCCACCCACAACCAAACCCTAGGTGCTAATACGAAATATGAGATTTTCCCTGCATTAATCTAACTAGGAGGCAATGAATTGCCTAAGAAAACCCAACATTCAACCCTTTTTCAAAGAAAGGAAGGGGGATTTTCTCTCTACCTAGGTTAGAATGGCAATTAGATTGATAAGTTTTCACACAACACAATCATTCGTGAATAATACCTCCACATTCACATTAAACACAACCACACACAAATCATTCAATCCATACAAGCATTCACATAATTATAGATAGGGTTTACAAACACCCAAGTGAAAGAAGGGACTACTCCATGCTAGGAGAAAGGAAAACACAAGAGAGAAGAAGGGAAACCATCAAAGAGATACTAATATTGCTCTTTGTGTTGAAGAGATCCTCTCTGGGGGAGGATCCTTGCTTGAAGATGAAACTCTAGCTTCTCCTCTTCTTTGGTTCGTCATTTTCTCACTCTAGAAATATGAAGAATAAGAAGTTTCTCACACTAGGTCTCCCATGTTACTCCTTTGGCTCAAACTCCTTTATATACCCAGATCGGGATCAGTTCACGGTCTTAGTTCACGACCGTGAACTGAAATCCCAGACCGCGAACCAAAGTTGAAATGTGTCGCATCACTAATCCTAGTTCACGGGCAATGGCCTGAGTTCACGGTCTTACGACCGTGAACTGACTCATGTCAAGTGAAAACTATTTGTGCTCTAGATGTCTGGTTGTTCACTGTAATCGCCTCCAGTTCACGGTCTTAGTGACCGTGAACTCACAACCCAAACCATGATCTGGTATTGTTTCCACCGTTTGACTTGACTTTCGCCCTTCCGTCCAAGTTTCGCCTCTAGGTTTGATTCCACCTTCCAAAGTCTGAAAAACACCAAAACAAGGCACAATCCGGCGTAAAACCAAACCTCCTAGAGTAAAAATGTTTCAAACGACTAAACAAACCGGGGGTAAAAAGTGTACAAATGAGCCCGAATCACTCCCCCACACTTAGACGTTTGCTTGTCCCCAAGAAAACCATTTTCAACCTAGGTGATATCCTAACCTAACAGTGAATCTCAATGACTATTTGGGCATCGACACATGAACCGCCTCAACAATACCGGCATCCACCCCAAATGACAATCGATTGCATCAAGAATGGGCAAATGAAAAGTTTTCACCCTATTCACAAATCAATGCAAGTCTTGACCGGACTACTCACTAACCACAACTAACCATGCATAGAACTCAAGTCCAAGGAATAGACAACGGGGCAACATAGGTCCTACCGGAGTAAAATATGAACATGCAAAACAAGAATGAATCACTCACTCTCGACCAGTGGGGTCAAGACCTATCGTCTCTCCACCATGGTCTTCAAGTTTTGAAAACTTATCGGGTTGTTGGAACCAATGTTTTCAGAACCGAGCTGGAGCATGACCCGGTAATGTGAATGGCTCGCACTTTAGTGGTCCAACAGGTATTTGGTCGTTAAAAAACCGTTAGAGAACCGATACATTAAAAACTATAATGTAATAAGTAGAACACACATAAAGCAATAACTTAACAATTCAATGGCTAAAATAAAATTTATTTTGCAAGTACCACTTAGTAATTTTACAATACATATATACTTAACAACTAAGGAATCCCCACCCCTCCCAACCCTAGCGGCGCGCCTCATCCCCCCCCTCCCCTCTCTGATTTCCTTCTCATTCAATTCCCTGCTCTGTTTCGTGAAACTTGAAGGAAAAGGGGCAAGGCAGAGAGGTCGGCATCGGCTGGAAGGAGAGTCAGCAATAGGATTACGAAGAGTTGGGTCATCGTCGTGACAGGGCTGAGAGGGCGAGCAGATTGTTGGGTGCTCATCGTCGCTTGGTTTGCCGGCAGGAGAGCTCGCCAAATCAACGAGTTGTGCACCCAATCAGCAAATCGACGAAGAGGCCGAGGTTGCCTCTGGGTTCTGGCGATGGGGACTGGCGATGGGTGTTGGCGACGGAAGCGACGCTTCTTTTGTCTGCACGAAAGGCGAAGAAGAGAATGAACTGAAGAATTGGGTTGTTAGATAGCCCGACATTTCCGCTTTCCTTCTCGTTTTCAATTTTTTTTATTAAGAACCAACCGACCGAAATGGAAAGCCGGGTGTTCGGCTCGAGCGGCCGCCGAACGCCCCAAAAACCCGTTTCGGCTAAATAGTTGTGTCGAGCCAGTTTGATAGCCAGGTGGCGGTTTTTCCGGTCCGACCAACCGACTCGGCTTTGATAACACTGGTTGGAACCCTTGACCTCCTTGAGCTTGAAATGGTTGTTGGAAGGTAGAGCTAATTGCGGCCTTTGTTGAATGAATGTAGGCCTTGGTTGATAATTTCTCGTTGGTCCTTGGAAACCGGGAGGTCTTGGATTGATCGGAGAAGACAAAGAGAAATTCTGATGGTTTGGCCACCCCGGGTTGTAAGTGTTGCTATAGGGGTTGTTCCCCCTAGAATTGGCAATGAAACTCACTTGCTCCTCGAGTGTGCTTTATTCCTTCATCATTTTACAATCCGAAATCTCGTGGTTGGTACTTGAACACCAATAACACGCCATTACCGGCCTCTTCCCATGCTTCTTGTCCTCTAAGATTGCCTCAATCAAACGATCAATCTTGGCTTCAAGCGGGGGACTCGTTCCTACACTTTGCACTCCCCTTGCGGTGCTTCTCTTTTCACTTCTTGTCAAGCCCCAATTATACCCTTTACTTGTTATGTCTTCAAGCAACTCGGTCACTTGGGTTGGAGTCATGTTCATCAACTTACCTTGACATAAGGAGTCAATGAGGATCTTGTCGTCTTGGTGGAGACCACCATAGAAGTTCTCAATCCGGAATTGCTCCTCGAATCCATGATGTGGGCATTGGAGGAAGTAATCAGAGTACCTTTTCCAAGCATCCATCAATGCCTCATCTTCCTCTTGCTCAAAATGGGTGATCTTTTTGCACCACTCCGCCGTTTTTGAAGGTGGGCAATAACGAGTCATAAACTTATTGAGCATATCATCCCACGAAGTGATCGAGAGAGTCGGCCTATTGTTGAGCCACTGAGACGCATTCCCCGCAAGAGAGTAGGGGAATAACCTCAACTTCAAAGCATTCTCAAGGACACCATTGATCTTCAAATCTCCCTCAAGTTCAATGAACATCTGAACATGCTCCCTTGGAGACTCGTTGCTAAGCCCATGGAATAGGGCATTGTTCTGAATCTTGGTGACAAGGGCGAGTTTGATCTCAAAATTTTTGGTGGCCACAGGTAGATGTGGAATGGTGGGTTGAATATTCCCCGGCCTTGGAGCTATGTAATAGCCCATGATCCTCGGTTGCTCCTTCGCGACCGCTCCTCCTTGAGCAGATTGATTAGCCGCCATCTCGGCTTCACTTCCTTCCTCTTTGGAATCAACCCCTTCATCAACTACAACTTCCTCTTTTATCCTCCTTCTTGCCTCTGCTAGTTCCCTCGCATGAGCCAAGTGTCAGAGCGTGCGGTTGAGATCCTCGTCTAGTGGATTCAAAGGTGTCGGATTACTACGGGTCATACACCTCTCAGCACACACTCAAAAGAACCACAACACGTCTAGCACAAGCAAGATTCAAAAACTCAAAGCGAAAAGTAAAAGCTATAATAACACCAAAAAATCTTTTCAAAATAATGAACCATTGAATCCCCAACAACGGCTCCAAAAACTTGACTCAACTCGAATGCACCACTTTAAAACTCCCAATTAAGGCCCAAGTATAAACCTTAACTGGCTGGAGTATGGGGCAAGCATGTTTAAATATCGACCCGCACCGGTTCATGTACCCCTACTTCGATTGTTTGTAACATTATCTAGCGATTGATTATTGATGAAAACAACAATCTAAAGCTAAAACGTTTTCCAAAGTAAATGAATTTGACACTAATTTAGAAGGCATCACCCGGGTGTTGCTCCCCCTAACTAGCAATTACGACTTGTTTGATCGAATGGACGTGTGTGGTGAGGGGGTTGTAAACCGTAGGGAAGTGTAACATGTGGCCAAACGCAACCCTCTTAGTCTCTAGGTCGAGGGAAAGGGATGTGATCCAAACCACCAACGTGACTCTCTCGATCTATTGACTAAGGATTGGTTAGACTTCAGCCTCCAATCGGAGTTCGGAAGGCCACCCACAACCAAACCCTAGGTGCTGATACGAAATATGAGATTTTCCCTGCATTAATCTAACTAGGAGGCAATGAATTGCATAAGAAAACCCAACATTCAACCCTTTTTCAAAGAAAGGAAGGGGGTTTTTCTCTCTACCTAGGTTAGAATGGCAATTAGATTGATATGTTT